GGAGGGGAGGGAGGAGGGGGTAGGGGGTAGGGAGGCCGTTGGACGGGGGACGGGGGACGGGGGAGGGGAGGGAGGAAGGAAGTCGTAAATACTGGCCTCAGCCACACAACCGGCCCCGGAAGTGAGGACAGCAGCGCCCTTGCAGCCGCCTTCCTGCCTGGCGCGCGTGTGTGCGTGTGCGTGTGTGTGTCCTCAGTTTACAGAGGGAACGGCAGTGTCGAGGAACGGGCACTTTGGGAACTAGGGAAAACCTAGTTTTCCGTGCGACGGAGCATCGAGGGGTGTCTGCCAGCGCCAGAAGAGTGAACAGCACCGGGATGGACGCGAGGGTTCCCGGGATCTTACTTTCTGGGAGGAGGCGGAGCCTCTGCGTTTGCAGAAGTGACCATTACATCACGTGTGTCACTCCCTCGCGGGAAGGAGCGAGGATGGGCCCTGCGTGGCTGGGGGGGATGGGCTGTCCTGGCCACCGGCCGCCTGCTGCTCTCGGCAGCATCCCCACGTGCGGCGCTCTGCCCCAGGAGGGGGCCGGGGTCTGCCACTGTCCCACTGGCTGGAAGGCTTCCGGCCGGATCAGCAAATGGGGGCAGGGGGTTGTGCAGAGGTGAACCTTCTGCTTCTGTAGGAATCGCCACCAGGAACACCTTGAGCTCCCACCACTCCTTAACACCTGCCCCCTCTGGGGCGCTGGGCCCACCCCCCCAGCTCCCAGAGGCTGCTTGTCCCCTTCCTTCGACTGGGAAGCTGTGTCCAGCTCTGAATGTGAAATGTCCAGACCCTGGCTTGCTCTGGCCCTCTTTTTTTTACTTAAAGACTGAGCAAACTTTAACCAATTTCAAAGGCAACACCCATCTGTTATGTCAGGAAGGGCCAATGCCTACCCCTGTTGGTGCATGAGCGTCATTCTGGTGCATTTCGTCCGCCGCCGCCCCGATGGGGTCAGACCACGGGCTCCCTCGCCGGCTTCCCTGGCTTACGACGTGAACACGATGCTAAGTGTCACTGCATCCGGAAGCCGCTGGCTACACACCCTCAGTTTTCTCCTCTAGTTTTCGGGACTGCGGTACGTCAGCTCTTTCACTTCTATTTCTAAATCCGTCACTGATTTAATGGGATGAATTCAAGATTCCCATCTCTCTCCGCTCGACAAAGCGTACGTAGAAGAAATTATAGCAAAACCAACTCAGCAGGTCGGCAAACAGCCTACGAGGTTGAGTCCTGTGAGACGTCAGCCGCTGTCTGCGTGCGAGCGAAACCTCCGACCCTCCCTTTGCCATCCAGGAAATCTTTTTCTACAGAAGTTCAATTACGATGCTGCCCCAACGTCCTAGAAAAGCACTAAGAAATCTCAGCGGCTCTGGTTCTCCTGTCACAGCCTGCGTCACGTCTGCTGCTGTCTTTCGGTTGAAAACAAACGCACATAACAAATACCTCCGCAAGTACGTAAGACTTTGCGTTTTATTCGTTCCATTGAAAACCCCGAGTTTGTTGGGAGGCACCCGTCCCACCCCCTCGCGCCCGGCAGGGCCTCTGCAGGCGGCGGGCGCCCCTGCGGCTCCTGGTCCCACACGAGGGGCTTCAGTCCCGAGCTCTGTACGTTCACAGTTCTGGATGCCCGCGACCCTAAGTCGCTATGAAAGAGAAGAGTTATCAGGAGGAACAAACATCCATTCAATGTCTGTTCATCAGAGATTTTTTCCTGAAAACGCACAGCGGCATTTCATTCAAAAACCCTTCATCCACAGACGCAGGGCCCAGGCCCTTCCTCCGAACATCTCGGCTCGTTCACCTCCTTCATTGCCAGGTGTGGGTTTCTCTCTTCTGAAAATGAAACTCCACGCATCCCACGATCATGAAATCAGTCCTATTCGCTACCAAGGCAGTGCGGGAAGCTCTGTGCCTGACGGGCGAGCGCCCTGGAATGATGTCAGTCACCCCGCACCCTGCGCGGGGCAGGTAGGGGCTTCGGAATGAACGGAAGTTAAGGGTGTTTCCTTTTTCTGACGTCTAACCGTAGACACGCGCATCTCCAAGCCTCAGGAAGTTAGTAAACATTTTCCCTGTACTCTGGCTCTGGTGGTCACTTCCTATGGAGATGCCCCCAAGAGAAATTAGAAACTCAAAAAAAATTTCCCAAACAGACCCAGAGGCTTTGCTTCAGGGAACAGACTCAGTGTGTGGTTGTCATTGTGCTTTGAGGACAGGTTTCTAGTTATGTCACAAGGAGATGAATCAAGGTGGTTTCATGAGAGTGAAGACAGCACCTGGAGCCCCTCCCCGAGCCCGGTGGCGCTGCTCCCCACTGACGCCTCCGGACACAGAGAGGGACTGGAGCCCCCCGGGCCTCCCGGGCACCCCATCTGCCCGTTGCCACTGCTTTCCACCCCCTCCTTCCCCGAGGCTCATCCGTCTCCAGATGCCCCGAGAACCCTGGTGCGAATGGGGGGACAGTCAGCACAGGCGGGGCCTTCCAGAGTGTCACCAGGCCCCGGGGCACCCGGCCCGGGAGACAGGAACGCCTCCCCGCATTTACACCCCGGCCCACCTCATCTCCCCGACATTCAATGCTCTGATCGGAGCTGACACTTTGGTGAAGTGGATCATGTCGCACGGAAACAGAAACCCCAAAAGCTGGTATAAAAAGGGGGGGGCTTGTAAAGGACCGAGGAGACAAAACAGTGGTTCCGGGCCGGGTGCCTCAGTGGCGAGGAGTTCCCTGATCGAGAGAGGCCGGAGGGAGAGTTATAGCTCACAGCCCCAGACAGCCTCAGGGTCTGTCAGGAAAAGGGCCTATAAATAAGCATCCCCTGACCCTCCAAGGAAGATGAAATAGAAAAGCAATTCTCTTTTCGTAAAAAAATGCTGAGTGTTTCCTGGAGTATCTAAATGAACTTTATAAAATACTCATGAGCTCCTGCAAATATAGAAACGTCGAAAAATCAGATGGCGGTTCTGCCCACCGATTCCACCGAGGTCGGCAGAGACTTTGTGCCGGAATCGAAAAGCGGGTGACACGTCCCGCTTTCAGGCGCGTGTGGCAGCCGACGGCCTGCGCAGCCTGGAACGGACCAGCAGGGACGGTGGGAGAGGATGGAAACAAAACGGGAGGCTCGAGGTGAAAAGAGAGCAACGCCCGGGCCGGCCCCTGAGTGCCGCCTGGAAGGGAGCCCCAGGAGCCGCCCCCATGAGCTCACCGCGCCCGCCCGTCAGGGCACGCACGGCCACGGCCTCGGGCCCGCGCTGCGCTAGGACTCGGGCCCGAGGGCAGGAAAGGGACAGCGCGTGTGGGAGCGTGGAGCCCGGATGCTGTCACAGCAAACAGGGCGGCGGCTGCGGAGAGGCCTCGTCTCTCCGGAACCTTACGTCCTAGTCCAGCTTCTTATGAAAAGGCTCCGTCCCAGCGGCCGAGTTTTCGGGGCTGAAGTCGGCGCAGAAGCCGTTGGGGGTGGGAGCCGGGGGCGTCTGTGCGCAGCTCTGGGAGTGCGTCTGCTCGGGGTATAGGTATTCCTCCGCGAAGTCGGGGTACGCTTCGGCAAACCTCTCGAAGTCGGCTGGAAAGACAAAGGCACCTTGGTTGCCGGCCTGCGGGGGCAAAGGTCTAGAGTCTGGGGTCTCTCCCTGGCGCCCCACTCGCACCCTGGGGGCGTCATGGCATCTACATGGACCCTCGGGAGGCCACGAGAGGCACCGCACCTCAGTTTTCTGTGTACCCCATTCCCCGTGAAGACCAGGGTGGCTCTCACGTCCTTTCGGCTACTCCTGCTCTGGGGAAACTAAAGGGTCAAGTCAGGGATGTATTCTGCGTGCTCAGCATCCTGGCAGCGGCCTCGTACCCCCGAGGCAGGAGCCTCGATGGACACAGCTAGGCCCTGGGGACACCAGGTGCACAGAGAGTCACCCCGAGCCATCGTGGGGCCTGCGCGGCTGTGTGTCCCCCGGTGGCCCTGGGTCCCGGCGTCGGGGTGGGGAGCGCCCTCGGGCTCGCGCTGGGGCACCCTGGGGGCTCGGTGATGCTCAGAGGCCCGGGTCCCAGGGCACTGCAAGCTCCAGCGGCGGCAGGGAAACGCGTGCTCCCGCGGGGAGCGGAGCCCCCTCCACGGGGAGTCTGTAGTCGGTCAGGGCTCCGAGCCTCGGCAGTAGCACCCGCTCCCCGGGAGGCGCGGCCCCCTTTAGCGCAGACACGCGCGCACACCCGGACCAACACGCTGCGGCACCTGCCTGACATTTGGATGCGATTAAAAGCACATCCAAACACGACGTGCACAATGACCTTTCCTGAGCAAACGTCTCCTCTTACTTTGGGGAGATTATGGGCTCATCCTCAGATGTGTACGCGGGCCGGCGCGCTGAGCGGGCCGCCTTCTGGGGCTCCTGCTGCCCCCACACCCCCGGCCTCGGTCCCCAGGCGGGTTCCGGTCCCAGTTCCCGAGGATCTCGGCTGTCCCGCGTTGTGTGGCGACAGGTGACGCAGCCAAAACCCCGGGAGAGGAGATGCCCCAGAAATCGGTCCTGACGGGCCGGGCACGGAGTCCCTCCCCCCACCGGGGACCCTGACCTCAGCCCGGCCGCAGCCCCGGGGATGGCGCCTACTTTACAGCTGGGCTGGGAACGTGCTTCTGTTAATGGCCTGCAGGAGCGAGCTTGGAAGCGCCCACCCCAGCCCTGCCAGGTTTCAGGAGAGCCTGGCGAGAGTGCAGGGGGCAGTGCCTCCCCCACCTCGCACTGGGGGCGTCCTCCGCGGCTCCCAGCCACTCACCGAACGTGATCCTGCCCTTCGCTTCTTGGTCGATCGCCCGGAAGAGGTCGGTCACGGCCAGTTCAGCCACTCCCAGCGCGGTCTTGAGGATGCCGGCCAGGGCGTGCTCGTCTATGCTGCCATCCTCCTGCGACCCGTACATCTGCAAGGCAGGGGCAGGCGTCACCCCGTGGCCTTGCCAGCCCCGACTGTCCAGGGCGGCGGCTTCTCCTCTGTGGCGTTCCCAGCTCTCCGGCTGGCCCAGATACCACAGGGTCAGCATGGCCGGAACTCAGCAGCACGACCGAGCCCTCGGGAGCCCTGAGCACCTCGGGCAGCTGGCGGCCGGGAGCTGAAGGCTCCCGGCTCCTGTGGGTTTTTCTTTTTTTTGCGGTACGCGGGCCCCTCACTGCTGCGGCCTCTCCCGTTGCGGAGCACAGGCTCCGGACGCGCAGGCTCAGCGGCCACGGCTCACGGGCCCAGCCGGACCGGGGCACGAACCCGCGTCCCCCGCATCGGCAGGCGGACCCTCAACCACTGCGCCACCCGGGAAGCCCTGCTCTTGTGTTTTAAATCCACCAAGAAAGGGTGGTATATACACTGCAACGTGAGGACCCGGCGTTCAGCCTTTGGCTGCGAGGTGCCCACTTCACGGATGCGCACCTGAATGAACACAGTGCAGCTGTGAGTCATGGTGACCAGTGAAACCGCCAGGAAAGGAGCCAGGCCGCCCCGCCGCCGTGAGACCCCCCCTTTGAGAGGGCCCTGGGCGGCCCACATAACTGACCACCTCAGGGACCCTGCTTCTCCTCTCCCGTGCCCTAATTCCCACCCTTACGCTTTAAATTCGCCAAGAAAAAGTGAACCCCCAAAGCCCTAGGCCCCTACCCTCAACCCTGACAAAGGCAGAGCCCCAGACCCACACTCTCGCCCCGTGACCTGTGACCTCGCTGCCCCCAGGGCGCGCCGTGTGCCCTCCGGGACCTGTGAGTAACAGACCGTCTTTCCCAAGCTCCCTGATGGCTGTCGCCGAGGGCGTACTGCAGTCACACTGAGAGCCCCAGGGGCCGGTCCAGCCGCAACCCTGGCTACCGACGGGCTGAGACCAGCACACGACCGCATTCCATCCTGCGCCGTGAATTCCTGACGTCCTCCTCCTGCTGCCCCAGTTTGGGAGGAGCGGCCCCCGCCCTCCCCCACCAGCCTGACCAGGGGCTGCAGGAGAGCTGGGGGCCGTCACCGCTGCGCCGTCTGCGGGCTCTCCCCCCCACGCTGGGGGCCCCCTGACCAACCTGCTCCCCAACCCCCTGGACTTCTTGGAGCGTTCACTCTGCCCTCCTGCCTAGAGGTGGGCTTCCCGCAGCGGGATGTCCACGTGAGCAGGACACACCGGCCCCGCCGTGGGGATGCCCGGGCACGGGGCCGTCCGCCTTCCCGGGGGGGCCCGTGAGGGGTGGTCACCGCAGGGGAGGTCGCCGTGGAGCAGTGCCAGGCGGCTCCCCGCAGCCCTCACACCTGCCCTCAGGTGGGGCCTGGTAGCGCTGCTACAAGGTGCTCATGCGTATGCTCAGCTGTTTCACTGAGCAACAAGCTGGCCACCTCCCTGCCAGCCACTGTCGTGGCAGCAGAGTCCACCGCGAGATGTCAGAGAAGCTGCTGCAGGGCCACCAGACGGGGCGTGGCCAAGGCAGCACCAGCACAGGGGCGATGAGCCCAAGGGCAGCCCTGGGAGGTGCCCGCCAAGGCCGGAGGAGGGGACAGGCTTTCTGAGACGGCGCTACCAAGGACCGCCGCCGTCTGATTAGCCCCCATGGCCTGGCCCGCAGAAGCCGCCCTGCACCGTGGGGGACTCTCCCAGTGCGCCATGGAGAGGGTCTGCTGGGGTCACAAGGGAGAGAAGGCGTTCTCCCGGCCCTGAGTGACCGCGGCTTCCTGACCTATACGTCATGTTTTCGTGAGTCTGGCTGATGTGAATTGCACCTGTGAGACACAGACAGAATGTCTCTAGGTGGCAAAGTGAGCCCAGCTCCATCCTAGGGGTCTGACCAGGTGAGGCCACGCTCGAGGGCATCCAGGTGGATCTGCGGGCGGGCCGGGGCCCCATCGTGGGCCTTCCCTAGTCTCCCAGACTCACTGCACCCATGGTGAACGGCCTGGCTCTGGGCTACGCCGGGGCAGGCGGCTCCTTAGTCCCGAAGCCCTGCTTTCCTCTGGTCAACACGCTGATGGGGAGGCCGTGTGGGAGACAGAACCCACTGGTCCTGCTCAGGCATCCAGGACTCAGGAAGACCCTTCCCCACACTCTTCTTGTGAGTGAGGGCTCGGGTTCCAGGGAGAAGTCAAGCAGAGAAGGTTTGCGGGCCTCTTCACAAACAACGGCTATAGTACAAGCTTATGTGAGAAGAGCAGGCAGACGGTAAGTTTCCCAAAGCCATAAGGGGCTCTAAAAGGTCTCACAGGCCTCACGTGACCCAGGTCTCACCGACCCCACAACTTAAAAGCCACGTAAACGCCACACTTACCTTGAACGCCAGCTGGATGGTGTCCAGGGTCTGCGACGGCCGGCAGACGACGGACAAGGCGACCACATACTCCCGCATGTCCATCTCCCCGCCGCCTCTCTGGGAAGAGACGCTTTCAGGAGACAGCCCTGCCCGCTCCCGAGCATGGGTGTGACGTCACAGGCCTTTTGGCAACCCGCTTAAAAAAACCCCCAGCTACAGGCGTGTTTATCAGCAAACGCTGATTTAAAGCCAAATTTCTACGCGCATTTGACAGCATCTTTGGGGGAGAAAATACCCCAAAAGACTGGGTGGCTGGCAGGATGGGCAACAGGGGCTGGTCTCCCCTTCTCTGCTTCCAAAATTGTCTGAAGAACATTTCTGTCACAAGGGAAACAGCTGCCCCCAAGCCCCCGCAACAAGGCCTTACCTCATCAAACAGAGCAAACAGGTCCTCCAGCGCCTGGGACTCGGGGACCTCCAGCTGCGCCGCGAACTTGGGCAGAGTCAAGCTCCCGCCCTGCTTCAGCCTGGCGCTTTCTGCATGTCTGTCCAGATCGCGTTCGAGTTTTTCTGGTTTTAGCCTAAACAAAACATGAGGGGAAAATTTTCTTTCAACAAAATTACAAAATGCTGAAAATGGCAGATTTACTGTTATGTATTAAGACCCAACAAAACATTAAAACGATTCACAGACCAAGCAGCAGTCAGTCCTCGAGAAGAGAGGCTCTTCCAGGAGCTCGAAGGCTCGAGTGTGCCCTGTGTGGGCGTCTGCACAAGCACTGACACCCCTGTGGTGTGTGGGCCCCACCCTTGGGCAGGTCCTCAGGGGATGGTGGACGGCGGTGGGGGGGTGGGGGGCGTCCATAAAGAGACGGCCAGGGCCGACCATTCGGGGTTTTAGACACTTACTTCTGTGTGGAATGAAGCGGGTATTTGAAAAAAAGAGAAAAAAACAAAACAAAACAAAACCCCGAACCTCAGAAAAAGCACCATTAATTATCTATATTGCCCGCCACCCGTGACCTCCAGCCCGGTCACCAAGTGCCCAGGCGGAGACCCTGCGGCGGCCTGGTGGGTGTCACAGGCGCCCACAGGAGCACTGCCTCCAACTGGGTGCTCGAGAGAAAGCAGCAGGGAACTCACCCCAGGCCCCTCACCAGTCTGGCAAACTCTAGGAGGCACGTGTCCGCGGGGAGACGAAGCTGGCCTTCCGCCAGGGCCAGCTGGCAGTCCTCAAACGTGTAGTCAGTTACGGAGACGCCCAGGGCCCTGCGAGAGAGGAGGGCACTGCCATCAGCCGCCCCCTCGGGGCAGCAGAGCGAGTGTGCTGGACGCTGAGGTGGGCGGAAAGGTGACGTTTAAAGGCCACGTTCAGGGAGTCCCTTGGTGGCCTAGTGGTTAGGATTTGGCGCTTTCACTGCAGCGGCCCGGGTTCCATCCCTGGTCGGGGAACAACCCTACATGCCTCGAGGTGTGGCCAAAATAGAAACAAACAAACAAACAAATAAATAAAATAAAGACCACGGTCAGCACTAAACATAAAGGCCGAAGAGCTGACCCCAAATCTCAATTACGTGGAACCTGGGGCTGCCCCAGCTTTGTGGTTAGCCTCGTATCGCTGTGGTTTCCGCCCACTAGGGAACTAGCATGCATCTAGCGCCTTAAAGAGGACGACGCTGCCCGCAGTGGTGCTCAGTTCAGCTCAAGTCATCTTTGCAGGCAGCAGGGGCCGCTGCCATCTGTGCTGGCGCCACCCTGAAGTGAGAGGGAGAGTCAGAACCCAGTCATTCCAAGAGCGGCGTCAGATTTTAAGAAAAATAGCCTTCTCCTGACTATTATGGAAAGCACGTTCATGGTAGGAAATCTACCACATAGAGAAAACTGCCCCCCAACGCCCGCTCCGAAACTGAAAGGGCGTTTACTCATTTCGATGGGACAGTCGGCCCTCCGGATCCGCGGTTCCACATCCAAGGACGCGGAGGGCGGCTGCACTAGACTGTCTCACATAAGGGACTCGAGCCTCCTTGGGTTTTGGTCTCCGAGGGTCCTGGAACCAGTCCCTGGCGGGTACTGGGGCATAGCTATAGTTCCTTGTTGCCATGGCAACGCTGTGTGCAGTCAGGTAATAAGGAAACAGCGACTTTGAAGGCTTCTTCCCGAGGCTGCTAAATTCCCCTTAAGAGCACGTAGGCCTGGTCGCGTGGGGACAGACGCCACAAGTGCCCCAGGAGCTCCCGGGCTATCCACAGGAAGGGGGACGGGGCTGGCTCAGGGCCGCCTGCAAAGCTTGTCAGGACCCCGGCCCTTCCCAGGTGCAGCCCCGGAGTGACTGAAGACCAGAGAGGTGACGGCCCACGCCTGTGGTTCTGGCTGTGAGGCAAGGGGAGACCCGATGGGTTTCTGCCCTTTTCCACTGAACATGACGTGTCTCTGTTAACACAGATTATATGACGCCATAAAAGTTTCTTTAGGATACATATTTAAAATATTTAATAGTTAATTTGTCTGAACACGAACTAAAAAAAAACAACAAAAAAATTACACCTAACCTGTCAGGCCTGTGACTCTGTGGATATTATTTTCTTATCTAGAGGTTGATCAAGGGTGTCACTCACTGCCCTGACTTCCCAAAAGCTGGGAGGTGAGAATCTCCCGCGTGCCGGCAGCTCTGTGTCCGCATGTGGGATTCGGAGAAGGGGGGCCTGAGGGGAGCGGGCGCGTTTTGCTGGACTCCATTTCCAGCGCCTAACACTCTGAGGGCGCCTGGGCGGACTGAACGCCTGGCTGAGTTTCATTCACGTGTGCTGAGGTTAAACGCTTGATTTTGCTCAGTGTGTCTCACAGAATGCACTAAAGCGGGGACGACGCATCCGTGGTGAGGAGATGGACTTTCCCTTAGAAACTAAGTCGCACCAGGGCAGCTGTGGGCACCTCCCCACAGGTGACACCGTCCGAGCACCCCTCCAGGCACTGCGACGCATCCGTGGTGAGGAGATGGACTTTCCCTTAGAAACTAAGTCGCACCAGGGCAGCTGTGGGCACCTCCCCACAGGTGACACCGTCCGAGCACCCCCCCAGGCACTGCAGTGGCCGAAATCAGAGGCAGCCCCTGCCTGGGAGAAGAGGGGGGGGGAGGGGCTGGGACTGAGAGGAAGGGTGAAGGCACCCGGGGTCTGGGCTGAGGCTGCCAGGGCCTGAAACAAGCGGGGACTGCAGGGAAATAGGAGGTGAGAATACTCCTAGCTACACACACACTGCGGTACGAGCAGCGCGAGATCAAGTGCACAAATACCACACTTAGCTCGGCGGGACGGAGTAAGAACCTTAGTAACGCTGTCTGGGTAGATGGCACGTGTCGAGGACGCACCAACTCAGGCCCCGCTGCCTGTCTCCAAGGGACGCACACGGACGCAGCCCCCATGGGGACTGCTGGCTAACGGGGACGTTTGCAACGTGCAGGATTAAGGGGCAATGAACCATCTTCCGAATGCTGAACAAGCAGAAATGTCCTCCAACAGAATCAGGAGACAAAGCATGCAGCCAAGCACACGCTGGCCGGTGCTCAGCCGAGGCTGGCTCCAACCGTCTCCCCGACGCCGCTGACTGGTTTTACAGCGAGGCCGCGACACTGGCGGACAAGGACACTGGGTAACGAACGCTCAGGGAGGCCAAGGGCACCTGGGCTTCCCGCAGACCCCGCCACCCCGCCGCGGAAGGGGCGCGCACTCACTCTGCCATCACGCGCCGCACGTTGCTGGCGTACAGAGTGGGGTCCTGCTTCTCGTCCTCCGAGGGGGTGTACACGGGAAGGAACTGTGCACACAGAGACGCCGGTTACCTGCATGAGCACAGACACTGCCCTCGGCCCCCCACCACCACGATGACAACCTGCTCCCGGACAAATCAAGATCTCTGTCAGAGCACCCTCCACTGGAATCGTCTCTGGAGCTGTCACTGCCGCCCGTGCACGCACACGCGTGCACAGACACACACGTGCGTAAACTCACAACCCACCTTTCCTCACCAGGAGCACCACTCCTCCGACACAGAAGCCCGTGAGTCGTGCTTATGACTTCACACAGGGGCTTCGTCTTTGGAATCGAAAGAATCGCACGGGTGCTTGCACTCCTAAAGTCTCGGTTTTGTGTTGTGGGTAACACGACAAATTATTTCCACAGGAAAGACTCTTATTAGCTTTTTGACAACTGCTGCATTTGGAGAATATAATAAACTGTCCCAGGAACGCGTGTCTCTGCGTGTTTTAAATAAGTACGTCTCACAGCCTGTGCCAACCCGCCATTGCAGAAAAGGAAAAAGACCATCACGGACCCCTTTGTTTTAGTGTGGATATTCAAGAACACAGGAACATCCCCAAATCCTATCAGTTCTCACCGTATAATTCTAGTCTCTCACTTACTGCTACCTTTTTAAAAACTTTGTAAGTCGCAACAGTTCCTCTTATTAGCACTGGCGTCTTGTAGGAGTGACACAGAAGAAAGAATTTAGAGTGACTTCACAAAGCCATACAGTTTCTTTCCAACTCTTAAAATTAGAAACCAGTCTGAAATAGAGCATCTTCCTTGGAGTCTCACCCCGCTGCTGCCTCTCGGCCACCAGCAAACGAGACACATAAAACATCCTGGGTTGCAGGCCAGCCACCCTTGGACTCGGGCCATGGCCCTTTCAGCCCAGTCCTTTATAATTAAGTGGCTTATGTTCTACTGAAGTGAAAAACCTGGCTGAAAGCCGGGCTCATTTGTAAACTCAGTATTACTCTGCAGTATTCATCAGAAGGTAGCAAATGAGATGCTTTAAGTTGTGTAAGACTCATCTCTCATTTTCAGGTGTAGGAGTGGCAGGTTAATTGCCCTTTTAAGAAAATAAACTCTATTCCTCATCCACTCAATTAAATTTACAGGCTGCACGAATGTGACCATATTTATTTGAGTAGAGAGGACAGGTACTGTGACTTTAGAAATGGGCTGAATGCTGGGAGGCAGTCTACCTGGTCTGACCAAGGATTAAACGGGATAACAGTAAGATAAGTTTAGCAGTACGGTATCAGCAGTGTCAGTACTGGGTAAAAATATAAGCCGAAAGCATCAGTAATTGCAGGTATGCCAATCTTACGTGCCCTTAAGCTATGCTAACCATAATGAAAGAATGATGGGCTTAGTTTCCTGTTGATTTTTAAAATCCTATCTGAATGGATAAAAAGTCACTCGAGAGACACAAAGCTGATGCAAAACCCCTGGGAAGCACCTTTAAGGAGCCATGAGAAATGGAAAAAGTTCGAAGCAGGACAGATGACATATAACTTTGTATCTGTACAGATACCAACACGACACTGTATAATATTATATCTACAGAGACCTCTATATGTCATTGTATCCATATAACATTATATGCACAGAGACATCAAAATAACATTGTGTAACAGCTGTATCTATAGAGACCGCAATATAACATTATAACAATACAGACAATATAACATTGTATAACATGGCATCTGTATAAACTCCCGGACAACATTGTGTAACACTGTATCTATACAAACCTCAATTTCCACTTGATTGTGAAACTGACACAACGTGAGCCACAGGATTTTCAACCTTAAAAATGAATGGATTTCGCAGCACTGGTTAAAAGATTCTCAATTCCTTTCAGTTAAACCACTTCTAGCTCTGGAGCAAAGTCTCCAGACCCCGCTCCCCTGCAGAGGGCACCACCGAGCAGGCAACTGTCCTTCCGGAGGGGATGCTGAGCCTTCCTCAGCCTAAATCCGAACCTTAAACACACCACCGAGTGATCCGGCTACTTTGATTAAACAGAAGTCTCCACTGAGCTTATTAAGCGCACGCACACCCGCCTGGCTGTGCCCTGTCTGACCTCCGGCTCAGGAGGTCTCGTCTACCTGACCCCGGCCCCTCCTGGCTGTCCCAGGCCCTACATCATGCCATCCCCACGCCCGGCCTCAGCTCTCCGTCCACCGCCCACTTCCACCTCATCACTGCCAGCGCCAAGCCCAGGCCACCGGGACCCTGAAGGACCCCCTTCCCAGACATTCCCCAGCTTCCCGCCCACTCCGCCCTCCAGCCTCAGCAGTGCGCCGCCCCCCCCCCCCCCCCCCCCCCCCCCCAGCCCTGCCAAGTTAAGGCAGCAAGGCCAGCGCTGCTCTCCCAGTGTTGATTCAGTTGTTTGTTCATTGACTGACTGCCTCCTCCCATGAGAACCCAAGACCCAGTGGCCCACAGAAGGTGCTCCATAAGCATCAGAAGCAGGACGAAGGGCTCTCCCTTTGCAGGTGTACTTTAGTCTCTGCATTTCACCAAAGGCTGGCGAGTCCATTTTCCTGAGTTTCCAGGTCCGAGATTTCCTTTAATTTTCTTCCTGGCTTCTGGAGTCCTGGGGGGCCCTCGTCCCCTAAGGACCCCCGCCCCGCCCCGCCACCCGCCACTCGGACGCGCCAGGGCCTCGGAGGGCTCTGCGTGGCCTCACCACCCGGCCCTCCGCCTCCGAACGCCAGCCCACATGCCGGCGCCTGGACCCCCCGTGCGCCCCCAGCGGCCGCGCGGGAGGAGGCCCCACGCTCCCCTGCTCCTCTCGGGGCCGAGCTGACAGACACAGGCGGGAACAGAAGCTCTCAGTTACCTTCCCGCCAGGGCCGAGGACAATTGGCTCGAGCCCTGGGATCCAGGGGCGGGAAGGCCAGCCTCGCGCAGCTATAGCCTCCCTGGGCCGAAGCGAACTGCCGCCCAGCAGCAGTGGCCCTGCGCTCCGTTTCTGCCTTTGCTAAAGTAAGCAGCACGGTGGTCACTGGAGCTCGGGCCTGCTTTCCTGGGAGGACGGGACCAGCAAGACAGGGTGGGGTCTGACTTACGCTCCGGGGCCTTGCCACGTCCAGGTGATGGTGTCCTGGGGACAGGAAAGAAGCGATGAGTCAGGAAGGAAGCCCTGGGTACCCCGCCCCTCCTCCTTGCCCGCGGGCATGCCGGCCGCGCCCCGCCCTCGCCCTCCAGGACCCCAGAGGCGCTGTCTTCCCCACCAGCCGCGTCCCCTCGCGGCCAGGGGAGGAGGGGGCGCCCACCACCGCAGGTGCCCCCGGACCCGCTCACCTCTCCTCCCACGGCCCCGGGTCGCCCATCCCAGCGTCCGCCCAGGACCCCGTCCTGCCCCCCTTCTGCCTCCGCCTTCTCCGGGCGCCCGGGCCAACTTCAGCCCGTGCCCGGACCTGCTCTGTGCTCTGCAGGCCCCGCCCTGCCCATCACCACCACCTAGCCAGGTGATGCTGTTGGCAGCCTCATTCCAGCTCCACACCCACTTGAGCCCCCAGGGTTCCCGCCTGGACTCTCGGTCAGAGACGAGCCCCCAACGGTCAGCCCCGGGCGGGGGCAGGGAGCGCGGAACAAAGCCGCAGGGCCGCATCGCCCCCACCCCGTGCCTGCCTGGGGTCCCACGGGGACATTTCAGATGCCCTCCGTCCTCAGCCACCTAGGCGAGGGCCGTGGGTGACACACGCCCCGCTTCTATCCTGACACCGGTCACCCACCAGGGCTTCCTTCTCTCGCAGGCCTGACACCCACCCGCACCCTTATGTCTCCTGGAAACCCACCTGCCACGGGGCGTCCCACACGCAGTCCCCAGCCCAGCCCCCTCCACGCAGGTCTGTGCTCAAACCTCAACCAGCCAAAGAGCACGTGACATAGACCACGAGTGCAAGGCAGGGGTCACCGTTGCCCGACAGCCGAGCTGAATGTTCCCCAGAGAACCCAGTGCCGTGCTTCCAATACGCGGATGGAACAAACTTAAAAGGGGGAAAATCTAGAATCCTACACACTGGTGATGGATTCTCATTCTCAGAAAGTGGCTAGCGAACGCATCTCTTCAGAGCTGTAAGAACAGCTGTGTCTGCCGGCCATGTGGCTGCCACTTCTGACTGGCACTCACACACTGGGCCTGTCCACACCCATGGGCACAGGGTCAGTGCACTGACCTTGGACCACAGGGCCCTGGCCCGGAAGAGGGAGGGCTGGTGCCCACAGATGTCACATGGGGGTTACAGGCAGGGTGGCCCAGGAGGGGTGCCCAGAGGCACCAGAACCTCGTCCAGGCCCCCCACCCTGCGAGCTGAGCTGGGGTCCGTCGAGATCACCTTTCTGCACCTGGCAGAGGGACCATGGAGGCACTTAACCTCCTGCTTGCCAGCCTTTGGGAACTAAATATTCTCAGTTTTAAAATGTCCCAGAGTGCGAGCTGGGAGGCAAGAGCCACTGAGGACCCGGGGGTCTCACACCTACATGTCAGGCTCGAGGAAGGGCCAGGGCTTTGTGATCCACGAAAGCGGGACTTGTGAGCTAGTGCTGGGGAATGTTGCAGAATGCCAGCGTAGATGGAGACAATGTCCTGAGATACCGGGCAATTCTCAGGCCCAGGAAATTCACTGGACATTCGTGCCAGGAAAACACACTCACCAGTTTGTTTGGGTACCGCAAAACCACCGGCTGGACGGGAACTCCTGGGATAAACGCACCTGCAGAGGGAGAAAGGGACGCCTCTTATTTCCACGGCAGCAAGTCCGCTGCCCACACTTCCCGTGTGGGTCTCAGAACAAAGTGGGCTTCTCTGACAGGCCTTCCCGGTCAGCGGTCATTCAGTGCTGGGCAGGTTTCCTCAACATCTGTGCCAGCCGTGGACGCTCAGAGAAAACCCCAGGGTCACAGGAAACAGGCACAAGAGCATCTCCTGGCTGAGGCACTTTGGTGGGAGTGAGGGTCTCCCCCGCCTTCTCAAGGCAAAAAAGAAAGAATTAAGAAAACTACTTACCAGGCTTGAAGGTAATTAGGCAGGTCCTGTTGGTACAAGTGCCTTCTGGGAAAATCATTATCTTGAAATGGAAAAGAAAAAATCAGCATCAAAGGGACAGTTCCCAGGGGCCAATTTCACAACCTATTTCCTCTAGTCCTGACGTGATTTCGGTACTTTAATTATACTCAGTTGAAAAAGTTAAGATGTATATAGAAGCCTTCATTAATTTCCCTTCTAACTGCTGGTTTGACTAAAACCTGGAAGCAACGCAGGTACGCAAACAGCATGTGTCTTCTTGGGCGGTGGGACGTGTGAACAGGTGGCCTCAGTGCCCACCCGCAGCTGCTGTGCGGACGAGATCCCCCTGCCTGGAGCCGGCAGCCACGAGCACGAAGCGGGACAAAGGTGCAGGGATGGAGAGCCCGTGGCTGAGTACGGGGCCTGGGGTGGGGTCGGGGAGAGGCTGGGGCCGGGCCAGGGGCGCAAACGCCCACACCATCAGCGGCAAAGTAACGCCCTCCTCACCAGAACCTCCAATCACTCCAGCTCCCCCTGACTTCCAGCAACAGAACGTAAGCTAACTTTCCCCTGCGTGGCGGAAAATGCAGCCCGTGAGGCTGCTTGCAATCCCGAGCCCCGGAGAAAGATCATCTCCAAGGGGCACCGAGTCAGCGTGGGACCGGCCCCAGCACGCCTGCGGGTCAGGCAGGTGAGCTGAATGGCGGAGGGGCTCAACCTATTCTTGTGTGGATGGCAGCTGGAGACCCCAGAAGCACAGCCCCCAAAGGGCTGCCCGTCCTCGGGCGTGGGTGCCACAGCAAGGCCTTCAATGTCTTCTGAGCAGCCAGAACCCAGAGAGTCCTGTGGGATTTCCAGCTTCTCAAGTGAAAAGAAAAACTATACATATACAGCATCGGTCAAACGCACCCACAGCTAACACTGGCCGAGGCCCCTGCTCCCCGGCCCGGGGCAGCCTTCCCGATGCCCCGAGGGAACCAGATACATGCCAGACAAGCCCGGAACCTTCAGAAGCAATGGGGTACACCTTGCAGCCTAACACAGTCTTCAGACACGAGACCATGCTGACCCCAGGGTCAGGGCAGCTGGCTCTTTCCGACACAGAACTTAAAAGACCATTCGGGAACTTGAGATGCATGTGAGAGTTGTTTCCCCCTATTTCTTTTATTTTTAAAACGCCAGAGGCCAAACCACCCGATAGTCGGCGCATTCTTGGATTTGCACCTCATCGGAAATAAAACGCAACACGAGGAACCCAGCCTCCAGGGAAAGCAAGCTCCGGCCCTCGTGTTTCCCTTTCCCCTCCAATCCCTAAGGTCGCCTCCTTTGGAATAACTGCTGAGAACGCAAGCTGTGCTGCACACCTGCGGCCACTTCCCGCTGGACTGCGCCCGCCTCCTGATCACTTCCACCGTCTTCCTGCGAGAATCCTGGTCCATCCGGGACACGAACACTGGCCGGATGTACTTTATCAGAGCTGAAAGAGAGGGGGGCGGTGCTCGTGTTGGGGTGGCTGCCCACAGGGCCCGGTGAGAGGTGAGCCCCCCAGAGGTGCCCCGAGGGCAGGCAGCCCGTCAGTGCGGACCACGAGGGATCGGGGAGGCGGGGGCACTGAAGCTTCAGTGGACTTAGAGGATGGCCAGAAGCCCTGCAAACTGCGGGGCCAACGGTAACAACTCCAAGCGTTCTCAGATGACAAATCAGGAGAAAGAGACAGATGGGGCTGACCCCACGGGGAGTGGAGAGCCTTTGGTCACCCGTGTCACTGGTGCGGGGCTGGGGGCGGTGAAGTGGGGAGGCCCCAAAGCCAGAAGGGCCTGGGGCACGTGGCTCGGACCCCACCAGCCTCGCTGCGGGCTGAACTGTGTCCCTCAGAGAGACAGGCTGACGTCCTAGCCCAGGTGCCTGTGACTGACTTCGTTTGGAAACAGGGTCTCTGCAGATGCAGTCAAGTTCAGATGAGGTCACACTGCGCTGAGGTGGGCCCTGATCAGTGACTGGTGTCCCCGTAAGGAGGAGAGAGGGAGAGATCGCCACGTGATGACAGAGGCAAGGACGGGGTGATGTGGCCGGGGCAGGCCCAGGAGAGCCGGGACCACTGGAGACCGGAGGGCGGCCTGGGATGGACTCTCCCTTGGGACCAACCTGCCGACACCTTGATTTTGGACTTCTGGCTCCTGGAACAGTGAGAGAATATGCATTTCTGTAGTTTTGAGCTCTGTGGTCTGTGCTGCTTTGTCACGGCTGCGCCAGGACACTCACACAGACCCCATTCCAGCACCACACACACGGCCCCCAGCACGTGTGTGAGGTCAGGGCTCCCTGGCCGAAGCTGATGGCGACACCCAGCACGCTAGTCCTCTCGGGCGAGGATGTAAAGGCGGGAAGGTACTTCTTAGAGAACTTTGAACTGATGGCAGGCAGAGGCCGTGGCAGTCGGTCACCCTCCTGGGCCGGTGAGGCCACGTCCCCACCTGCTCTGCCCCAGGGCCACACCTCACTGGTACCAAGATGAGCTCTGAGCTTCTTTTCTGAGCATTTCTGTTACTTGTAGAGAGTAATATTTCATGACCTTTACGTCTTGGAGGTCTTCCAAAAAGCAAAGAAAAAACATTTAAAAAAAGAATAAAATTCTATCTCGTTGGGTCCACGGCACTCACAAAATCTCAGTGCGCCTCAGTGGTAGTTTTTGCCACGTCCTGAAACATTTCCCTTCTTCACCGAACGGGAAGCCTTTTATCCCTTCCTCACCACTTACTCCTGATGCTGCTGAAAAATGACCATGGGAAGGAAAGGGAGGTTCGGTGTAATCACCCAGAAGGATGGGGCGCAGGGAAACAGGCGAGCCCAGCGGCCGTCCTGGCCGAGCACGGCGCCGTTTCCCAGGGGGCGAGGGGGAAGGAGGCCGGCTCACCTGGCGGGGGGTGGGTTTTACCGGTCAGAGCTACTCTGTCTACACGGCAAAGAGAAGAAAGCGGATGAGGAGGCTTTTCCCAATTCCTGGCCGGACGCGAGGCCCAAGGCGCGGAACCCGGAGGGCTCTCTGGACCCAGGACGGCAGGGGTCCCCGACTGCGCGTGTCCGTGGGGACCCCACCTGAGAACTGCACGCTTCTGAGGACAGAAGGGAAACGCAGTCTCTGTCCCGCGAGCCCCGAGGCCGGACAACAAGGGCCCGATGCCTGCTTCGCTGAAAGGCCGCGGGCGGCTCTGTGGTCAAGACATTTGAAGCGGTGGGTAAATGCATGGGAGGGGCAGGAAGGAGCCTCCCCTGGAGCCTCCGCGGGGAGCGGGGCCCTGGGGCACCTTGATGGCAGGCTTCTGGTCCCGGAGCTGGGAGAGGACGCATTCCTGTGATTTTAAGCCCTCAGTCAGCTTTGGTGACGGGTTACGAGGTCTCAGGATGCTCATCCACCTGGATTTATGGTACAGAAACTGACCCAATGGGACAGTTACTGAGTTGTCCCTAACTTCTAGAGCTTCTGTGTGATGAGGCTGACACGTTCTTGTTAGAACTTCAAGGAGCACTGCAACACCTTATAGCCAAGGGCACTTGCGCGTTAATAAAAAACGAAAATCACAACAGTATCACAGAAGAAATCACAACAAAGAAAACAGGGATGCAAGGCCCGGTGCCTATTTCACGTGGGTATGAGCTGAGTGGGCGTGGCTGTGCTGTCACCGTGACCTGGACTGGCCGGCACTGGGGGTTCACTCCCAGCAGGACGGGGGCTCACTCACTTCCCCATATCGGGATGTCCCTGCTCTCCGCCTTCATCACGATGGAGGACATCGTCATGGTGACGGGGATGGCATCGAAGTAGGAGGAGTGCGGTGCCAGGGTGAGGATGGCGGCCTCGGCGGGCAGCGCCTGCCGCCCCTTCACGGCCACGCGGTGGAAGCCGCCGGCAAACCACATGGTGCGCATGATGGCCTTGAGCAGGACGTCCACGACCCTGCAACAGAAGCACAGCTGTCAGTCCCAGGCCTGGCGGGGGACGCAGCCCCATTGCCCACACCCCATCGGGGACTGTGCCAATCCCAGGAGACCTGCCGCCACTGTCACTGAAACGTCCGAGGAGGGAAGGGAAGGAGGCTGTGCTTTCTCCCCTCCGACTGCGCACATGGGCAGTAGAACAGCTGTCGCATCCGTTCACCCAAGAAAACGGAAGCCCTCTCAGCCCCGTTACGGGACAGCAGCATGTGAGAAGCGAGGCCCACAGGACAAAACTAGAGACACAGACACGTCGGGTGATCTGTCAGCATCCTAAGGATATAAGTTTTAAATGAAAAGAAATCATCAGCACCTAAAATGCACACTGAAACGTGGAGAGGCAGCAGAGCTGAGGTCAGGAGCAGAGACGTGCTGGGTAAACCTCACCCTCGCCTCCCACAGGTGGCCTCAGGCTCCGGGATGCAGCTGTTACCTTCCGGAAACCAGCCTTTTCTGGATGCAATTAGATGGACAATAAATTTGGAAAACAGAGTAAAAATCAGGCTAGATTAAATGAATTTGCTTCTTATTTATTCTTTTATAAACATATGAGAACTTAAGCATCTAAATCTGCACATTCCCTTTCATAGGAATCTCTGATACTACAAACCAGATCGCTGCTCACGTCACTGAAACCACGGTGAGTGATGGGCCGGCGGGCAAGCGACTGCAGGCCACGCACCCGAGTCCTTGGGAGAAGGGCCATCTTCAGAAGGACCCATGTCTCGCTGTGCTGCTGCGCTACGTGGGTGATCAAATTGGGTAAAAATCACGGCATAGAAGCACAGGAGCCTAAATCCTTAGTGGACTGATTTCCCAAGGGGCTTAACAACCCTCTCAAGAGAATTCCCAAGATGAGCCCCGACAGATCTGAGCGGGTCTCTGAAGCTTCACCGCGCCTGCAAGGAGCCACCTGGAAACAACCTCCTCCGACCACGGGCAGGTCCTGCACAGTCACCCAGGCAATGCGGGGGCCAGGCTGGGCGCTGCGTCTAGAGCTAGGTGACAACAGAGCACGCACTTCCAGTCGTATGTTCTACTGCGCATTTCACATGTTAAAATGCACTTCTCTGCATGCATGTTATTTTTCACGATAAAGTCATTTACAAAAATAAAAGCCAGTGGATGTCAATTGATGCACAAGGAGAAAGAAACAAGACTGCGGGGGAGGCTGCAGTGGGAGCGCAGCCAGTCCCAGGAAGGCAGGGCCAGGGGGAGAGCTGGTGAAAAGGGGGGTCGAATCTCAGCCCCTCCATCGGAGACACACCCACCACCTCTCGGGCCCAAAGGTCAAACAGTGACAGTGATGTACTGGGACAGGAAAAACCAAATCTGATAATTCTCTAAGGTCTCGGAGGAACTCTGCCCCCAGGCTGCCGGTGGGGAAGAGATGCCTATGGGTGTGGGTACCAGCCTCAGAGCGGAGCCCCAGCCACTGCCCAGTGCAGGGCCAGCACCACGGTCCCCAAGGCAAGGGTGCCAGTGACACCGGAGATGCCAGAGCTTCTCCAGGGGAAGGGAATTGGGAGACAGATCTACGTGCTCAAGGGCAGGGACCTGCACCCCGACTCCATCTGTCGTTCATCACACAGGTGGACACCTCAGACTTGGACGTGTGGGCAAAACCAGCTACGTGATGGATAAGAGGAGTATGACCCTGCGGAGACCCGAGGGCAGGCATCAGAAGAGACGTGTAAAAATCCACACGCATCAGGACGTTACGGTGCCGGAAGAGCCCGGGATGCTCTGAAAAGGTCCAGAGGACAAGAGAAAGAAAATACTCTTGGAAATCAAAAGTCTCACGCAGAAATACCAGTTCCCTAAGAAGGCTCAAAAACGCGGAGAAGGGGACCTCCCAGAACATGCAGGAAAAAGAAAAGGACGGAACTATAAGATATAAAGAAAATAGTTTCTCAGAGTTGAAGAAAGACCCAGATCTTCAGCACCATCTCAAGGTGCTGAGCAGAATGAATTTTATGAAAAAGACTCATATTATTTCCTTTGAGAATTTTTCAAATTTCCAGCGACAAAGAGAAGAGTTTAAAACCTCCCAGAGAGGAACAAACGGGCTTCTAGCATCAAAGCTGCAGGTGTCGGCAGCGCATCTCCAAAGCTCTGGGGACACATGACGTGAAACCTGCAATTCTATACCCAGTCAAACTACCCACCAACACAGAGGAGAGAATAAAGACATTTCCAGACACAAGATGCGAATGAGTTCCTCCCGTACATCTTCCTTCTGAGAACCCAATACTCCAGAAAATCTTGGAACGAAGATGAAGAAAACAGGTCCAGGAAATGCAGATCATGCCTGAGAGTGCAGCAGAAGAGAAACACACGCCACGCAGCGGTCAGGGCCCCGGACCCTCTGGGAGGAGGATGAATCCCAGGCAGTGGCCGCAGGACTTTGGGGGTGGAGAATTTTGAGGCTACACTCAGGGCTCGTTATTCTCTTGGTTAACAAGGCAAAATAAAATCCGAAATTCTGTGAAACGGAAAACACAATACAACTCTTGTAGAGTTCAGATTTTATTTCACAGAGCAGGCAGATGTGCAGGTGACTGAGAAACCGTGCGAGAGAGAGAAGCACGTGGTGATGCTGACCACCACCTTCACCCACCCCGGGGCCCCGCGTGTGCAGATGCGCAGGCCGCCCGGTGCCCCTCGGGGTTGGGGTCCGACGCCGACGGGCCCAGAGCTCATGGCTCCTTCCCCAGAGTGACAGAGGCAACGGCAGAAAAGCCACACACACGTGTGGAGGGCGTCTGCGTGGCGCTGGGAGGAGGGACTGCAGGCCTGCCCTCAGCCACCCACCCTTCCCCACCACTTTGCTGCAACCACCAACTCGCGTTACTCCAACGAAAGTGAGAAACGCCACCAGTGTACACGTGGCGACTCAGAGTCGTCATGGAGATGACCCAGGGATGGACGTCCCCACACGGGGCACTCAGGAAAGGGCATCCTCTGCGATGGACCGACTCATGTCACCCCACATTCCTATGCTGAAGCCCTGACCCCCCAACATGACTGTATCTGGAGCTAAGGTCCAGTGAGGTCCCGGGGTGGGACTCTGATCCAGGGGACCGGTGTCCTTAGAGGAGAGGAAGAGGTCTCGCCTGTGAGGACGCGGCGTCTGCAGGTGGAAGGAGGTCCCGCCACGAGCCCTGGCTGCTGACCCTGACCTCCCACTTCAGCCTCTAAAACCGTGAGAAACGAATTCTGCTGTCTGAGCCCCGCCGTGGTACCCAGTTGTGACGGCTGAGTTGACCCTCCTGAACCCTGAACCCTCAGTCGGCCAAGGGCCAGGGCCTGCAGGACCGGCCAGCAGTGTCTCCTGCCCTGCCTGGTTGGGTTCTATAAGAAGATAAATACTATAGTTTTTACGACACTCTGTGTTTTGAAACACAGAGTCTTATGCGAAATTGTGTCGTTCCTCCTTTCATTGAAAACCCAAGATTTTATTTTAGGAAGGTCTGACCGACATTAACTTATATTCAGCAAAAATCCTCCCTGATCAAAAACAAAAATCTGCTCAAAACCACACAGCTGTGCCTGGCGTGAACCAACCCACCGCCACAGCTGATGACGTGATGTCCTCTCCTCTGAGTCCTGTTATTTTAAACTTGTTTCCTCCTAACTCCCCGTGTCCCAAACTCAGGATCTTCTGTCACTGTGCTTCCTTTGAGGAGCTTGGGGCCGGGTGTTTGTTCTTGTTTCCATGGAGCCCAGGGCTGTGCACCGAGTTCCCGAGAAACACTGCTGTTTGGAGACCCCGTGGGCTGCAGGGGGTGGGAATTCAATGTGGGTGGCATGTGCAGCTGGGGTACATGTCAGTGCACATATAAACACACACATATGTGCACACACACTTATGCACACACTCACACGTACACAAACACACACGCATATACATACACACATATACACACAGACATGCCCATATACACATATACTCAGGACGATGCTCAGGCTCCGCGTACCTGAGCACCCAGAGCTCTTGTGAACCTTAATCCCACATCTCCCCACGTGGGGCACATCAGGTGTGCACATCACACACACACACGCGCGCGCGCACACACACACACACACACACACACACACACACACACACGGTGCGTCTGTGAAGCGAGCGGGCTGTCGGAACTAAAGTTGGCTGTGGCCCATTTATCACCCGATGAGACCAAGTACATTATTGCAGACAAGAAAAGCTACAGGGAGTCAAAACAGGGAAACGGAAACAGCCCAGAGTCACCTGTTTTGAAAAGACAGACGCCGAGGTTGTGCAAGGTTTCCTCCTTTGTGGGAGAGGACAGCGGGGAGGTAGGGGAGCCCAGCCCCAGAACAGAGCGGGGTAGGGGGAACAGGGAATTAAGACACTTCTGATCAAATCATTCGTAATTTGTAAAAAACTACAAAATCTCTGCTTTCTAGCTCTGGGTTCTCAACCAAGTGAAAACTGAAATTCTGATTCCTATTTGGTCTGGATTTATTTTGCTTGATTATATATTTGATACCAAATTCATATTTTACAGTTAAAACATTAAAAAAAAAAACCCTCAAGGTAAAGCACGATTTCCAAAGAGATTAGAAAACCCAGCTGTCTATTCACTCATTCACTCTTTCATTCAGTCATTCACTGACCCATTCATTCATTCATTTGGGAGAGACTTTCCTGTCCCTCAGGCCAGGCTCCGTGCTGGGGACACACCCATGGAGACAGCCACGTCTACCTTCTGGCTTTTAGGGAGGGGGAGAGATCATGGTTCACTTGAAACTGGGGATGGTCTGAGGACGTGAAATATTACCACGCGGAGGGTGAGGGGTCCCCAGGCGCCACGCTCATGAAAGGCTCAGAAAACCCTTGAACCTTAACTGGCCATCTCTGCCCTGCATGTAACTGCTGTTCTGACCACGGCACGTGGGCAGCGGGGAACCAAGGTCCAGGATGGGCGCCAGTTTCCACAACCTCTCAGGGCATCAACATTCCAGCAGCTCAGACACTGGGAGAGAAAGGAGGGGCCTGAGCTGGTCCATAAACCTTGCGGGCCGGGCAGCAGGTAGTTTAGGCTTTGTGGGCCTGTGGCCTTGGCCACAATGACCCCTGCCCTCCAGGACAGCAGCCCTGGATGGTGTACAAATGAATGGGCAGGGCTGCACCCCAATAAAACCTCATTCACAAAAGCAGGCTGCAGCCGGGTTTGGCCTCTGGGCCCTTTTGCCAACCGCCGGCCCTGCGCTAAACTAAGAACACTTCTGTTCTGAATAAACCGTCCAAGGACCCTTAGGGTTGATCGGAGATGCAGACACAGGAGGTGGCCAGCAACTTGGTTTTACGACGGGAACGGTGTCTTCTAACACACTGGAAATACTCACCAAAATCCTTCCCATAGCTCAAGGTTTTCCTTCACTAGAAACGGCATGTAGTTTGAGTTAAGGAACAGCTTTAGGTATTTAAATACACAAGAAAATGCTGTGATTTCATGTCCTTTTGTGAGGCCCCTGTTGGATCTTCACTTAAGATGGATTCACATGTCCATCTACACGAAGCAGAGACCACACCTGCGGCAGCAGGCTGACACGTGGCCTCGAGGGCAGGGGACAGGGAAGCGCGGGACCCCTGTGCTCAGGGCACAACACAGCGGCCACTCGGCTTGCGGGGCCCTGGAAGGAGCCTCAGGGCAGGATGCTGGCAGGGGGAGCGTGGGCCTGCGACACCCCCCAGGGCCCCCACAGACGTGCACTCACCTCCGCCACAAGGCCAGGGGTTGCTCTGGTTCCTGCTCAGCGGATCCCAGCGAGGCCACAAGCGCCAGGGGCCAGGCAAGCAGCATCATGACGGCGGCGAGCAGCAGCCGGATGGGGAAGAGTGTCAGCGTCATGACGGCCACCTGCGGGGACAGGGCACGGTCACGCGGGGGACTGTCGCTGGGCTCCTCGCGCCGCCCCCGGCACCCGCCTCCCGCGGACGCTGCGGCCCAGTCCCTCCCCCAGCCACCGAGGGGACGCCTGGGGTCGGGGTGCTCTCCTGGCCGACGGCGCTCCGCCCACTCCCAGCACCCCCAGCAGGCAGCCCCGCCCCCGAGCCCCCTCCTCAGTGCGCCCAGCAGCCCCTGCACACACGGATGCTTTCACGGGTCCACAGGCACAGAGCTGGCAGGACTGGGCTCAGACCACAAGGAAGACGGGGACTCGGGGACTCTCCAACCCCAGGAAGTTACAGACGGGATGGGGGCCCAGCAGGGAGGGAGGGGGGCGTCCAGAGCCACGGGTCTGGTCCGGTGGACGCGGGGAAAGCAGGCTAGGGCTCCGTGGAGAGGGCAGGCCCTGCGCGTGACGGGGGACACACGGGTTCAGTAGTGGCCGAGTCAGGGAGGGGCCCCGGTGGACGGGCAGCTGTGACTGAGGTGCCAGCACTTCTGCATACAAAGTGATGTTCTGGCTCCACACTGGGGGTGGGGGACATTCAGGAACAGCGTGTTTCGTGACGAACTTGATCTCAGGAGGTCGATTAGAAAATAGGGGAGTGGAGGCATGACAAGACAAAACTCACAGAGCCTTACAGCCAACAGATGCAGTTTTTGATTATTTGCAAGAGAATACACTTGAAATACGTAGGTTTGGTGCACAGGAGACAGGAAAGACGGGAAGGGACTCAGGTCCGTGGTACCGTGTCCAAGCTGCTCACCACCACCACCCGCCACGCCCGTCTCTGCCACCTGCAGGCCTGCATGCTGACCAATCCCTGATTCTCTGGGGTCTCCATCAAGGCCAGCGCTGCCCGACAGGAATACGATGCAGGTCACGTGTGCCATTTTACATGTTCTAGCAGCCATGTTTAAAAACACAAAGGTGATGAAATTAATTCAACATGCAGTTTATTTAACCCAACACGCCTAAAATAGCATCATTTCCGCACGTACGTAGCACAAGGCGTGGACGAGCCAGTTCACACTATCCTCATCACGTCCAGGGAATCTGGTGTGTTCTGCGCTCACAGCACACCTCATTCACGCGCGCCACATTCTAGGTGCCCTACAGCCACGTGTGGCCTGTGCCGCCCACGGCCGGTGTGGGTCCAGACCTCCATGTGCTGTGACGATGGTGACTTTGAATGGCCTCTACCCCCGGCCTTCAGGGGCTGGGGTCCCCTGGCTGAACCTCTGGTTTCAGCACAAGGTGGAACAGGGCCGGTGACCCCGGGTCTGTCGTGGCCGCCGCTGGTGGCAATGCTTCCTGTTAAATGGTCGGTGGGGGAGGGGGGGGTCTGCTCCAGCAGGTCAGACAGAGCAGGA